GCCACTGCAGTAGCTTGGGGAACCAAGAAGTCAGGGCCCCCCAGGGATATTCCAGAGCCAAGAATCTGCCAGCCAGAGCATGGGAAGCCCCGCCCCAGGCCACAGCTGCTGCTTCAGGGCCTGGGTTTGGCACTCGTGGAGAAGAGGGAAGGCTACAGGAGGAGGGGCATGGGTTTCTGGGCAGACATGGGTGTGGCTGGTCAAGAGAAATGGGACCTGACCACAGGTGTCATCCTGATATGGATTTATCTGAAGAGCCTTCCAAAAGAGGTAGCAGAGGAGGCCAGACCCATTCCATGGCCTCTGAAAAGTCAGAGGTTGGGAGGGAGAGAATGATGTGAGGATGGAGGCAGTCAGCATCCTCCCTCACCTCCCACATGTGAGGGCTGGGACCCTCTCTCCATCCCCCACCCCGTGGGAAGCAGAGTGAGCTTCGTCATCACATCACTCTGGTCCCAGGCCAACTCCATTGTTTTGCCCTTCTTTTCCCTGTAGTGGACAGCCTTGCTGAGCTGATGTTCCCCAGTTGTGAAACAGGATGACAGGATCCAGGCAAAGGGTGGTGAAAATGACATAGCATCTGTGAACTATTTCCCAACTGCCTAGCCCTAGTGGTCTCCTGCAGGTGAACATGAGAGGGCCAGCCTTGGCCAGGAAGACAAACACAGTGAATGATCATCACCCTTTCCAACACCCAACTTCTTCTCAAAATCATTCCCTGATCCCGTGACAAAGTTTGAGAGAGAAAAAAACAACAACAAAACAAAAACAAACACAAAAACCCCCCGCAAGAACCTCCTCTCAATGCCAGCCTTCTCTCTGAGTCTGTCCTCATTTGTAAGGTAGAGGTGAGTCATTGCAAGAACGCGGTGCTCTGAGCACTGGGGGGCAGTGGAATTCTTAGCCCACCACCCCTTTTCCAACTGATGATACAGGGGAAACCTGAGGCAGTGTTCCCTTGGTCAGCTGCAAATAGCCAAGACCCTCCATCCCCCAACCACTGTCTGGCCCACCCATGGGCTCCTGTACAAAGAACTGTAGCCAAAAGTCACAATTCAATTGGACCGGCCAACTGATTTCCGCCAATCCTTCCTTCTGGCCTCCACCCAGCCTCCATCTGGACCTTTGTCCCACCATCCCAGATAGGTGTCCAGGCCAAGGTTCATCATCTTCTATCCCCTGCTCCACCCACCCTCACATCTGCCTTCCCACACCCACACCGCATGCTGGGCAAGGGAGGAACAGCATGAAAGGAGAGTGTGTCACCCCACTGGCAGCTTTCTGTCCCAAGAGGTTTGGAGAGAAAGTACAAGTCAAGGAGTCAAGGCTCATGGTGACAAGAACACAACTCTGCAGCCCCTCGATCTAGAGACATATTTGGATTTTGGTCAGAGCAAGGAAGGGCAATGAAATGCTCTTCGCGTCACCTCCACTCAGCACCTCTCTTCTTCCCTGCCTCCCTTCTGGTGGAGATACTGAAAGTGGAGAGTCCCAGGACATCCTTTAGAGTCCTCTGATGGAAGCCACCCCAGTCCCACCTTCAAGACATTGGGAGGAGGAGAAGGAAAGAAAGAGGCAGGGCAGCCCAACCAGCAGCATTTCTAGACAAAGCTCTGGGGACAGGAGGCACAGGACTGGTGCTCAGCCTTGATGCTCCTGCCCTGTGGCTCCTTGTCAGGCCTCCTGTCCCCGAGGTAAGCCCTTTTTTGAGGGTGGGCAGTGGAAAAAAAGGGCAGGAAACACCTTCTTCCAGCCAGAGCCTAGAAGAACAAGCTGACCAAGGGGTCTCTCCAGGACTGTGGGACCCCTGCTCTCATCACCAGAAAACAAAGCAAACAAAAGTGAGCACATCCAGATCCCTTAAAGTACTAGGGGTGGCTCATCTAAACTCCAGGGACCAAAATTACCCCCACTACATAAACACGGCCCACCTCACAGCTACCCTTTGAAGGCAAACCACTGAGACACAGTGGGAGGGGCTAAGGATCCCCAACCTGACCAGCTATTTCTTCAAAGCTCCTGAACCTGCCACCAATCTGCCTGTAGTGGGGGGTGGTGTGGGGGACTCTTTCAGCCTGTGGAAGAAGCTGCTCCCAGAAAGAGAAACTCTCCAGCTTTTCTGAAATGCAAGAATTCTAGCCTGTTCTGAAATGCAAGAGTTCTGTGTGGCTGGGGGTATAGCTCAGTGGTAGAGGGATGCTTAGCATGCAAGAAGCCTTGGGTTGATCCCTAGCACCACGGAAAGAAGGAAGGAAAAGAGAGAAAGAAAAAGAGTTCTGTGGTCCTTCACACTGCCTTAGGAGCTCACTCTGGGGTTCCCCTATGCTGCTCAAGCCCTGGGACCAGCCAAGGGGCCACTGCTCTCCAGAACTAGTAACCTCACGTGGCCCTCACCTCTTTCGACTTCTCCTAGAGGGGACACACAGCCTTGGCCAAATCAGGCAATGCCTTGAGTTTGCACATACACCCTGTAGTGTGAGTGTCACAGAAATGTGGAGCCTCCCTCTTATGCCAATTGTTTCCACCACACAGCCCTTTGCACCAGCCAAATCATCTGAGCATTTCAGGAAGACTGGGGCTACCCAGTCTCAAATTCAGGACTCCAGGGATCCATCCTATGCATCAAATGGACAGCTCAGGTCTGGAGCCTGGGAATACAAACTGAGAGGGTGGTGGTCTTTCCCAGCCAGCAAGCCCACCACCCTGGAGACCTCTGGAGAGTCCTGCCTGAAATACACCACTGCGTGGAGCTCCAGCCCCTGTTCCCTCCCAGGCCTGGAGAGTGTACTCACTCACAGGGCTTCCTCAGAGTTGGCAGCAGGGAGTATGGCCTCGAGTCCGGGGTTGGCAGACAGGATGGGGCAGGGGCTGGGTGAGGGGTTTAAAGGGCTGCCACTGTGGTGACGTCAGCCTCCCCGCCAGCTCCCCCTCAGCCCCCTCCCTGCCGGAGGAAACCGACTCTGGTCCCCTTCCCCCCGCCCCCCAGTGACTCCACACAGGCTCCATATTTGGGGAAAGACACCAAGTTGGAGCAGTCTGTCGGGGGCTGCCCGAGACATTCTCTGCGTGCTTTGGAGATGGAGCGGGCCGGGGCGGGGCATGCTGCCGGCAGGAGTCAGCCGGCCGGGAAAAGCCTTTTATGGGCAGGACCACAAAGGCCTTCCCTGCCTCCGGATTTAGGGCTGCTCCTGCTTCACTTCTCCCTGCCCCCGAATTTGGGAGGAGGAACTCAAGAGAGTCTGCCAGAGAGGAAAGGGACCAGGGAGCTGGGGATCCCTGGGGCTTGTAGGGGTAAAACAGTCACCTTTTCTCCTCCTGGGGCTTCTAACTCTAGTCAGAGGTGAGAACTATGCTTTACTAAGGACCTACTCCATGCCAGGCACTTTGCAAATACTGTCACTTAACACAGCCACATCGTGAGACTCTATTACTATCCTCATTTTATGATGACTGAGGCCACATGATGAGTGGTGAGTGGCAGAAACAGGCACCCTGTCCACCTCTGATGGGCAATAGGAAAGTTGTCACACCCACTTTTTAAATTTTTTTGCAATCTGGAGATTGAACTCAGGTGTGCTCCACCACTGCACTACATTCCCAGCCCTTTTAATTTCAAGACATTCCAAGTTGCTGGGGCTGGCCTACAATTTGCCATCCTCCTATTTCATCTTCCAAATAGTTGGAATTGCAGACTGTACTATCACATCTGCCATACCCACTCTTCTCAGTTGTACCATCCTGGGGACAGCTTTCAGTTGGGGTTCATCTTGAGTTACATACTTTAGGAGGGAGTAGGATTTGAGGGCTCAGCAGTACTGTAGTGAACAGTGGCCCCATCCAGAGGGCAGTGATAAAAAGTTCTCCAAAGCACAACAGGGCTGGAGACACTAACACTAGGGTAGAAGGTTCAGGAAGTTGGGTCATCCCTCCCTCCCTTTAGAACTGGGGATTGAACTCAGGGATCGCCCTACCTACCCTGGAAAACAGACCAGACTACATCACCCCAAGAGGGAGATTCACTGACACCTTGCTTGTGGCTTGCTACAGGAGCCTTGAGAAGGGATAGGTTAAAAAAGTGGGAGACTTCCAGTGGGGTTTTTGGGCTACTGCTGTGGCTCCCACCATCCTAAGACTTGGTAAGGAGGATGTAATGCTCTCCACTGTACACACATATCTGGCAACACCCCAAGCCAAGCAAGGCTGCAGGAGGAACAGACAGGCCTGGCAGGGAGGGGCAGAGCCTGGCTCAGAAGCTCCACCCACCACAGCTAATATTGCCAGCGCCAGAGCCTAGTGATATAAAGAGCTACAGTGCCTCTCAGTGGCGCCTGAAGGGAAAAGAGGAGAGAAGCTAAAGATCAGCAAGAGAAAAGCCCACCCCTCCATTCCCAGACACCTAGACCTCTGAACTCACCTAATGTTCTGAACTCACAACTTCTTGGCCCCCAAGTCTTGTCCTCGGCCTGCTGAAATCTAAACAAACATTCCAAGAATATCTCAAAATCCCCTTCTCTTGGGGCTTGCCCACCATCCATTACCATCTTGCCATCCCTGACCACACCTTGCCATGGCCTGCACACACTGTTCACTAAAGCCACATCCGGGAGCACTGCCTGGGCCTGCAGCCTGCAGAGCTGGGAAATGCTCAGGCAAAAATGAAGCTGGTCTCAGCAGGGTAGGTGGAGGCCAGGTAGGTAGAGGCAGTTGCTATTTGCCAGGTAAGGGGGGATCTTAGAGGGTAGATTGCATGGCAAAGGCTTTTCCAATATCTGTGCCCAGCACAGTGCCTGGTATAAAGTAGGCCCCCAGCAAATGTTTATTGACTTAATGCTGTTGTTCAAGGCAGAGAAAAACACGGGGGAATCAAGAAACCTAATGCAACCATGACATGGAAAAGAGAAAGGTCTCAGGAGAAATGGGACCTGGAGAACACTGCCCCTCACCACAACCAGTGTCAACATCTCCACCCAGGACATAAGAGCAAACAAGGGCCCAGGAACTGCATCTGGTTGTCTCTTTATTGAATGCATTCATTCATAGAAAACACAAACACAACCGTAGCATGGAAAGACAAACCAGGGCTCTGAAACAAAAGACCCAGACCCATCTCCTCTCCCCAGCCCAAGCAGAGCTATAAAAACAACTTGGGGAGAATAATGCACATTCCCACCCCCGAGGCAGAGGCCTGACCTGATGGCCCCTGTCCTTGGCATCTGGAATGGACCCAGGTGAGGTGAAGGGAAGCCAAGGACTGGAGTGGCCAGGAGGCCCAGAGCTGGGGGCATCTCCATGTAAACTCCAAGGTGTGTGTGTGTGTGTGTGTGTGTGTGTGTGTGTAACCAACAAAGAACTTGGCTGGAGCCTGGACGGAAACTCAGAAGCCAGCCCTGGGTCCTAGAGTGAGGCTGAGCCTGGGGACATAAAGGACAATGGCATGTCCCTTTCTTTCTAAAGTAGGCACTGGGACTCTTGTGGCCATGGTGAAGGCTGGGCTCTGCACCATCCCTTCATTGCCCCTGGACATTCTTGGGCAGTGTCAATGGCACTGAAAGACCCCAGCTGGGGCTTGGCAGGACCGAGGGAATAGAAATACAGGAAGGGACGGACGGGTGAGTTATTTTTCCTTCCAATCCTGGTGCTGGCATCAGTCTGAGCACTCATGGGATGAGAGGGTAACATCTGAATCCAGCCCTTCAGACAAGAGGCAGCTCTCAAATTGAGCTCTCATTGCTAAAGAGTCAGCCCGAGTGCACGTTGAGGGAGGAGCGTCCTGCCCTGGGCCCCTTGCAGGCCTTAGCACCAAAAGCCTGGCACCAACCAGCCAACTCCTGAAATCCCACAGCCATATCCATCCTGGGCAGTGATGGCAGCCAGGAACAGCCCCAGAGAACTGTGATCATGGGTCAGGGCAGAGAATCAGGCCCCAGTCCAGGCCCTGGAGCAGGAGCATGGGAGGAAGAAAGGGCTTTGGGTCCCAGGCTGAGGGGGAGGAGAAGGATGGGCAGAATGGAAGGCATGAAATGGGGAGGGTATTGCCTTCTCTCCTTCCTCCTGAAGAGGGACAAACAGCCAAGGGATGGGACCACAGAAAGCCCCAACACTGAGAAGAAAGCAGCAGTTTGGCCAATGTCTGGGGTATCAGGGAGCAGGCCTCCTCCCTTGCAGAGGGCAGCTGTGAGGCCCATGCCACCCTGTGACTGTCCCAAGTTAGGTCTGGACTAGACCTTGCTGTCCCGCTGCCACACAGTGCTGGGCAGCAGGCCTGGGACTCACACCTCCAGAGCTACAGAAGCACCTGGCAGGTGACAGAGGAGCTCAGAGCCCCATGAGGTGAAGCGAAGGGTCTGGCTCCTGCTAGAAGACATAGATCTTGTCCCGTTGCACAGTATCCAGGTCGTCATCCAGTGTCAGCAACACCTGGGAGATGGCCACTGCATCAGGCACAGAGGAAAGAGGCAACCTCTGCCCCCACCCACCCTTCCACCTGGGCTCAGTACATACCAGGAAGGACCCAAACATGGCAATGGAGGACAAGAAGTGCCAGATGTCATGGTCATCAAAGAAGTCGAGGAGGATGCAGTCCCGGTTGTGCTCCCTTGACTCTGCAGGGGTTTTCTGGGGGAAGCACAGGGAGAGCTGCCTCCTGACCCTGCCCTACCCTGGCAAGGCTAGGGCTGGGCCCACCTCCAGTATCACTCCAGGACACCCCCACTTCCCAGCTGGTCAGGAAAGCGCCTTGTTCTGACTTGTCTCTGGTCCTCATCCCCCACATCTAAGAAATGGACTTTTGTTACAAATTTCTGCCCAAGTTTGCTGCCTTCTATTCTTTCCTTTTATTTTAGTCTCATCCTCCCCCCTTCAGATTCTTCTTCCCTTATCTAAAAGCAGGGAGACATGATTAACTGAAGATGCCATCAACTCAAGAGATCCCCAAAGACACAGCTGACTCCTAACTCAGCACCCTGCCTTGGACTTAACCCTTGTTCTCATCTGTCCTTCAGGCTTACTGTTTTCTCCAGCACTACTGTCAGGTCATAACCTTGCTCCAGACAACAGCAGCCACGACCTGAGATTCCCAAGGTCCTCCCTACTCTATCTACAACCTCACCCCCCAAACATCTACAATCTCTACCCCCCAAACATTTACCGATCACCCACCCTGTATCCAGGGCTATCTGCTAAGTTAAGGGCTCAGGCAGGACCACAACCCATCCTGCCCCCGAGGATCTTGCAGTCCTTGCTTGATTCCCAAACTGGTACATTCATTGACCTCCAAATCTACCTTATTCATTTCTACCTCTGTATCATTACTCAGGTCAAGCATTTCTGGGCCACAGGGCTCTTCCCCATCACCCAGAGCCTTTATGGCCAAGAGCAAAGCCTGCTTCCTTTGGAAAGTTTTCCTGGACCTCCTAACTCACAGAGGCCTCTCCATCCTCTGTCCTGAATACCCATATCCTAGCTTACCCTTGCTCTTCATTTTAAATATGTTGTAAACAGCAAGATATAAACTAGGGGCTGGGATATAGCTCAGTGATAAAAGTATCTGCTTAGCATGTGCAAGGGCCTGGGGTTCATTCCTAACACCAAAATAATAAATAAAACTGAAAAACAAAAACGCAAGAGATCAGTGACTCTCTTGAACTAGATATAAGTGCCTCATAGGTAGATATCATGTCAGACTTAGTTCTGACTACAGATTCAAAGCCCTACACACAGCAGTGCCCTTTGAGGTTGGGGAGAGAGTCTGACAGCTCTTGCTTGAAACCCCAGCTGCCACTCACTGGCTGTGTGCCCCTGGGGAGGTCACTTGGCCTCTCTGAGATTCAGCTGCCTCATAAGTAAAATGGGGCTATCTTGGTGCTAGAATGTTGAATATCAGGAGAAGTAATGAGAAAGCAACTACGGAAGTGCTGGCCCACAGTGAAAATCAGCCTGGGAGTGACTCCTCACCTGCCAGGTGCTGAGTCCCTGGAAGAAGAAGAAGAGTGCAAAGCCCCAGACCACAGAGGTACAGATGATGCAGAGCAGGGGGATGAGCTTGATCTTCTCTCCGCTCCGGAGCTGGGTGGGGGTCGGGGGAGAAGTGGGCTGAGAGCCAGGACTCCCGAGGCCACATCCTGGCCTTCCCTGGATCCCCTCTCCTAGGCCTCTCAGACTCCCAGGACTCACTCCTTAGGAAGCCTTCCTGGATTCACAGCACCTCATGACTACAAGCTCATTCAGTCCCATGCAAGCAGCCTGGTCCTCACCCTGATATTCACCCTCTCTGGGCTTCCATGTACCCAGAACCCTGTGCCAACAAAGGTCCTGGCCAGGGGGCTCTCCTCTCCCACTGCATGGCCTGGGGGTCCCTTGGGAAGCCCCCAGTCCTTAGAGGCTCAAGCCCATCACTGACAAAATGAGCTACACCTCCTCAACCTCTTCAGCAACCAAAGGGCCCTGGGCTGGGATGCAGCTTAGTATCAGGGATCTTGCCCAGCAGTGGCTCCCAGGGGTCAAACACAAGAGGGTCTAGCCTCCTGCTGTTCAAACCCCACTGGCACAGACAGACGAGCAGAAAAATTCTCACTCCACCTCAATGCAGGCCTGGCAGGCCAGAAGCAGAGCAGCTGACAGAGGAGGCTCAGTCCTTCCCCGCTCACCTTCATAATAATGTAGAAGGCAAAGTAAAGCAGCAGGTTGCAGATACCGATGGCCAATAAATAGGAGGCAAAATCATTGGGGCGCATGATGAGCCCATAGGCAGCCCTGGGAAGAGGGTGAGAGGCTAGTGAAGAGGGGAGAGCAGAGAGCAGAAGGCTCTCCTTTGCCCCCACCCACCATGCTTGACCATGATGTTGGACTTGGTTCAGAAGCTCACAGAAGATTCTGAAAACCCAGGGACCAACACCTCTCTCCTCAGCCCCAATTTCTGGTGCCCAAGGTTTATAAGTTGTCCACAGCCCCTGAGGCAGCCAGTGGCTGGCCACATCCCCAGCTGTCTGCCAAGCCAGGCTACCACAGCCAATGGCCACACTCACAGCGACCAGTTGATAATGTTGCCCATGACCAGCAGCACCATGCGGTCCTGGGGGGAAGCAGAGACACGGGGACTGAGAGGGGGAAGAGAAATAGGGAGAGAAGTGGCAGAAGGCCCAAGTCAGCTGGTCCCCACCCCTACCCTGGATTTCCCACTATACCTCCCTATCCCCCTGGAGGAAACTGACTATATGGAGGAGAAAGGGGCTGGGGAGCTGGGCAGGTACCACATAGAGGGGCCCGCTGCACTGCCGGATGCAGTCCGTGTAGAGCACGTGGAGGATGCGGCGGAAGATCCCCGAGTCTGCAAGGAGGAGGGCACGCAGCTGAACGGCATGGGCACCCTTCTTTGCTGGACCCCTGGCCTATGCCAGCTGAGAGGAGCCAGGGCCCAGAGAGCCCCGGAATGCCAAGGCCTTTTCTAATTCCTCACCCAGTGGTACCTCTACAGGGGCCAAGGAGCAAAGCAGGGGGACAAGCTTGATCTCCAGTGGAAGGACATAACCAGGGGGTCTCTGCAGGTCCAAGTCCCTGAGGCCACTGACCCCTCATTCCAGGGGGCTTCCCAGCCTCCCCCTCATACATCTTGCCCTGAGCATGCCCTCACCCAGCTTCCAGCGACCCATGTAATAGAGCTGTGTGCTGAGGAGCAGGGTGGCGATGATGTGAATGACAGAAAAGACAATCCAGAACACCGTGTTCCCTTTGCCAAAGACCTGTCAGGAGGCCACAGGAGGCATAGCTGAGGGGTGCTGTTGGCACCCACTCCCATGCCTGTCCTTGCTAGGGCTGGCTGCGCAGCCAGGCTAGGATTTCCCTTAGGGAAGGAACAAGATTTCTCCTGCAGGAGGTGGAGGGGATGTGCACACCCACGTGTGCGAATGGCCCTCACCACGCCCAACACGGAGAAGAAGATGACAATGGCCAAGCAGGCGTAGGCGCTGTAGGCGCTGGCGTTGATGTCTGGGTGCCGCTTCTGATAGAGCTTCAGCATGCAGAGCCCAGCAATCATGTACATGAATGACGTATCTGGGTTGGGGGACACAGGAGTGAACTACAGAAGTACCAACAGGCTCTGCCCTCTTCCTCTTCTTTCTCTCCTCTGCTCTCTTTCTCTTTCTCTCTTCCTCTCTGCCCTCCTCCTCTCCTCTCTCTGCTCTCTCCTTTTCTTCTCCTTCAGGCAGCCCCCAATAAAATCTCTTGGTTGAAAAAAAAAGAAGCATCTACCAGGCCTCAGCAGAGAACTCCCAGGCCCGACAATTAGAGAAGAGGAGAGAGCCCAATGCCTCCTTATGGCCACAGGGTGAGTTGGTAGTTAACCTAAGCTCCAGTAGTCCCTACTGTCCCTGCCACCACAATGATGGTCACCAAGAGTCTGACCCGATGACAAGGTCAACTTAGTCTGAATGACTTAGCCTGTGAGCACCCTGACATCAGGGGCCACTTCCTGATGTCCTCTGTTCTCAGTGATGACACATGCCTCCATGCAGGAAAAGATCGACAGCTGCCTGTTTTCTATACTTCAGACATGTGCATTCATATGTAACTCACCCCAGGCATGGGAGGTTTTACACAGCTGTTGTGGGGATCCCGTGGGTGAGGGCTCGAGAAGATCCCTGCTCTAGGTTTACCCAGAGAAGAGGGAGACGCCGCTCACCAAACTGGAAATTGGTGTAGTTGGGGCAGACGTGATAGCAAGCACTCAGCAGCCCCTCCATCATCAGAGCAGTACCCATGGCATAGAACAGACCAAAGTGTTTGGGGATCCCACATTCCTATAGGGGAGGAAGAGAAGGTGAAATGGGAAGGGAAGAAGGGACCCCTAAGAGAGAACCCCGAGAGGAGCAGAGTGGGATGTATATTGACTGGGTGTACGTGCCAGGCAGGGCAGAGAGGGCAGGGCAGGGCAGGGCTAGACTGGACAAGGGAGGAGAGGGTGGAGCAAGATGGGGCAGTACAGGGCCGAGCAGGGCAGGTCTGGGCACAGCAGAGCTGGGCTGGGCAAGGCCATGCCTGCCAGAAAGGATGCACTAGAGCCAAAGCTCAGAGTGTGTGCCGGAGCTGGTCTCAGCAGGCAGCAGCTCACTCACCAGGGCATAGAGGTCATTGCGCAGCAGGGCCCTGTTGTGGTTGATCTCCCGCTGCAGGATGATGAGCAGGAAGAGCAGCCCCAGCAGGATGTACCCCAGGTTGCTGAGGATGTTGTTGAAGGCGCTAGAAGGAACAACACAAGGCACATTGCCTAGGCCTCACACTCAGGCCTCTTCCCCAGCCCAGTCAGGCACTTCACAAAGCCCCTGCCCCTTCCCCAGTTCACCACTGCCCTGGAGAGGGGAACTCCCAGCACAATCCCCACCTGAGGTTTCCCAGTGGGTGGGCACATAGGAAGTTGTAGTAGCAGATGTCCTGATTCCCGGTGACATTCACCACCTGCAGCAGGAGTGGGGCAGGAAATGTGGCTGCTAACGTGCCAGATTCAGCTCACGGCCCATGCCACACCACCTGGGCCAGACTGACAAGACGGTAAGTGTACACACAGCATGTACATGTAGTACCCAGGGGACGTGCTCTTTTTGAAAAGAGGGATGCCAAGTGGCAGTCATTATCCACCCCCATAGCTGTGGCTGAAAACCCCAAGGCATGATCATGACAGAAGTTCCTGTCTCACAGTCTAGAGAAAAGGGAAGAGAAACCAACTCTTACAAAGTCCTGTGATGTTTGTTTCAAAATTCTCACAACATTGCTTTTATGTTGCCCCATTTTGCAGACAAAGAAACTGATGCTCAGGGAGGTTAACTGATTTTTTCAAAGCCTCTCAGCTCACAGGCAGAGCTAGGATTGGAAACCTGGCAATGGAATCTAAGACCTGCACTCACTGCAGAGCTCCCAGCTAGGAGGCTCTGAACATAAGGGCAGAGTCCTGAACTGTGGCCAACTGAGCCAGCCCCTGCCTCTCACCGTCTGGTAGGTGATCACCAGCTGCACCACAGGAAGGGCGTAGAAGACAGCAATGGTGGCGATATTCCTGAGGAGCAGCAAGGAGCAGTGAGGTGGGCAGGACTGAGATGCACTCCACCTCCCACAAGGAACCGGCTTGTCCTGCTCACCAGAAGTAGATCTGGTACTTCTTTCGAAGAACACGCTTGTCCTTCCGTGCCAAGTCAGCCACATAGAGGTATTGCTGAGGAGAATCAGGAGTGAGCCCCACTTACCACTAGCTGGGAGAAGGGGCCTCCCTCAGACAGGCCCAGCTCAGGGTTCTAGGCTATCCCACTGCTGTAACCAGTTAGACCAAGAGGGACTGTGCTGGGGTCAAGGGGTCGGAGGGAAAGTTAGTTTCCACTGAGCACTCTCCCTCTGCTTCCCTGATGAACCAGATGGCTAGGGCCTTAAATAAAAGGTCCCTTCCTCAGAAAACCTGTGACCAGGGCCAGGTGCATGGTGTCAGACCTTGGTGCGAATGACATTCTTGTCTGAATCGATGTCTGTCAGTGTGTCATAGTCATCCTCCTCCACGGAACTCATGGAGTCCAGTCGTGGTCGAGGGCCCACTGGATCAAAGGGGCGGTCTGAGAAGGGCAGGAAGAAAGGGGTCAGCTGTTGGGCACAAAACCCAAGGTCTGCCCCCACCCATCTGAGGCAATTGTCAAAATTACTAGGCTCTGGGGAAGTGGCAAATTGTGGACTAAGGCTCAGAGCTGGGGTAGAGGTGGGCCCAGGTGCTGGGAGACATCAGGTGCTCCTAAGTCAGGGGGGAGTGACAGGAGTTCTGCAAAGAGGCCACCAACCAGGGTCAGCTCCAGATTTGCTCCCCTCCTGGCTCTCCTCCCTAAGGTAGGGCTCCCAGGCAGGACACTGAGCAGACCCCAAGCCCCAACACAAGCAACAAGATTGAACTTGGCCAGTCATGCTGATTAGAAGGTGCCCAGCCATGTGGATTCTGAGAAGACACTGCTGGGAACCTCACTAAGTTCAAGACCCACTGAGCCTGGGGTGCAGGCAAGGGCTAGAGGCTGCCTCCAGGAAGAGCACCTCTCCTTGACCTCATCTGTCTCTTGCCTACAGAAGCTTCCTCCTATGACCTCACCTGACCAAAGCCCCACAGGCCAGAATGTGACTCCCATGTTCAGGAGCTTGTCCCCAGCAGACTGGGGAGAGAGTGCTGGCAAATGAGACAGCAAACTATAACATCTGACCTGTGGTGGCCAAGGTGCCAGCCCACTGGCATCAGGGGCCAGTGCCTGTCTCTCTCAGAAGACACACAGGCTAGCATTACTGGCATTAGATGAGGAAGCCATGCACCAAGCATCTTTCTGACCCTGGAGCCAGCAGGCCCCAGTCAACCGCCCTGGCAGGAGCTGATTGGCAGGGCAGCCCCACCCCCTCCCCACATCTACCCATGGCAATGCACAGCTGCCGCATCTGGCCAGAGGGGAGGCGCCGCTTGAACTGGTCGTGCCCTTCAAAGGAAAGGGAAAGTTACCAAGGAACTGGAGCCAAGGAGGAAAGGATAAGGGAGGACAGGGGCAGAACAGCAGGCAACTGCTGGTTCCAGCATCTGGCAGAAGAGGCAACCGCCCACCATGACGCTTCACCCAGCCAACAGCAGCCCTGTACCACACACCCCTGCCTGTCCCACTTACCCTGGTAACCATAAGAGAGGTCCCCAGTACCGGCACTGTCAACCAAACCATCAGTAGATCCGGAACCATTTTCTGCAGGGAATGTAAATGGTGAGGTATGTGGGGAAGGGACACTGGACCCATCCTGATGGGGCTCTGAGTAGCTGTGAGGGCACAGGCATCAAAAAGCCAATGGCAAATGAATTACAGTAGATGGGGTAGAGAGAGAAGAGGGGAGGGGAGGGGAGGGGAGGGGGATAGTAGAGGATAGAAAAGGCAGCAGAATACAACAGACACTAATATGGCAGTATGTAAAAACGTGGATGTGTAACCAATGTGATTCTGCAATCTGTATTTGGGGTAAAAATGGGAGTTCATAATCCACTTGAATCAAATGTATGAAATATGATATGTCAAGAGCTTTGTAATGTTGTGAACAACTAATAATAATAATAAATCAATAAAAAAAAAAAAAGCCAATGGCCACTTCAGCAGTGGGCAAGTAGTCTCTGGTTTTGACACGTACCAAAGGAGCCATAGTTGTAACCCTCATAGGAGGAGCTGCCAGGAAAGGAATCAGCCAGGACTCGAGGGTGCCCTGCAATGAGAAGTCAAGATTCCCTTACCCTGGAAGCAAAGAGAGGCCTAGGGCCAGGGGGAAGAAGGAAGGGACAATCCAAAGAAGACAATTATAAAGGGGCCACATCAACAGTGAAGAATAAGTACCTCTCCAGGCAAATACCTCACTACCACCCACCACTACTACCAGATGCCCTGAACTCCAATGTGTTCAATGGAAACATGTCACCCTGTGCTCTCCCTAAGGAGAGAGTAAGTCAAAGAAACCATGTACTAAGCTACCAGTAGCAAGGACAAATGACATCCAGTGCTCAAGTTCCCCCAGACAGCCCTTGTGCTTCACCTCCCTCCCCTTTGACAATAGCTCCTCTACCCACAGCACCTGGAGCTTACCAAGGAGAGAAGCTGAGAGAGAAGGTCCCAAGCAGGAGGAAGAATAGAAAGAGAGGGTGGGGTGGGGGGAGGGAGAGAATGGAAAGTTAATAATCTCAAAGACTGTAAGCAGCACTGCCTGTGACAGACAGCGTAGCTAGACATGGAGAACAGACCACACAACAGCTAGCAGGGTACACATAGGGATGGACAGCAGAAGACACCAGCCCTGCTTCCATCTGTGGAATGTCACTCCCAATCCAAACATTCAGAAACCCACAACCCTTCCTCCTCTAACCACACAGAGAACCATCCACCACTTTCCCTCCCCAGGACTAAGCAAATCCTGCCCTCCCACCCGGGCCCTTTAGAGATACCACTTTCTGGGCAGACTCGGTCTATGGCCACCAACAGAGTCTTCTTCTTCTGCCTGTAGTGACAGAATCAAGAGGATACTCAGACTGGGTAAGTTGAAGATCCCTCCATGCTAAGTTGACCTCCCTTCTACCCTCTCTATCTCATTCTGATTCCTATAACCCTAAACCCCAATCTTGATCCTGGGTTCCTCCTGGGCTGAGGAGCTATGTGGGGTCTCTATACCTGGGAAAGAGATTGAGGTTCTCCTTCCTGGTCAGTTTCCAGAGAAGTGGCCTATGGACCACAGATTCTAATAGGCACCTGCCTTGCATTGCCCTGAGGACAGTTAGGAGATAACCCTGAGCCAGCTCAGATCCTGCCAGGCTATCTCACTCATACCCCCTGCCCACCCACCCTAGACCAGGGGAGGGCTCGGCAGTTCCATCTTACCTCCAGTTCTCCCAACAGGCCAGGAGGACGGTCAATAGGTAAAATGAGAGAAATATGCCCAGACAGAAGAGCATCCCACCAACATAGGCCTCGGCTACAGGGAAGGAAGCAGGAAGGTGGACAATACAAACCTTTCAACATTACCATCATGATGCCCAAGGGCCTTCATTATCTGGCTCCTCTGCCCAGCCCAACCTTTCACCACATAACCCCTCAAATGCAGTGCCTCAGCCAGTATGAACAACTGACAGTACTACAACTGTACTAAGCTCTGACATGATCCTGTCTTTGCTCATGTTGCTTCCTGGGCTAGAACTTTTCTTCTACTTCTTGAAAACCCCATCTTGACCACATTCAAACCACAGCACAGGGACTGTGCCTTTTAGGATGCCTTCTCAGTCCTACAGTGATTTGTCCTTTGCTCATCACAACTTTTGGCACCCTGTATAGCAACAGCCTCCTGTCATCTACACAGGAGCTCCTTGAGAACTATAGCCCTGGGACAGCACCTGGCACCCAGGAGGGGCTCAATCAATATTTGCTGAGTCAATGAGTCACTCAAGGGGCAGCTTTTCTCCTCTCATCAAAATCCCTTATTTTTATCTTATACTCTCAAGTTTATAAAGCCCCATTTATGAGGACTAAGTTGTGGCTCAGTGGCAGCGTGCTTGCTTAGCGTGTGTGAGGCACTGGGTTCGATTCTCATCACCACATAAAAAATAAATAAATAAAATAAAGGTCCATGGATGACTAAAAAAAACATTAAAAAAAAAAAGCCCCATTCAATCACTCAGTAAATATTTATTGAGTACTATCTAGGGTCCAGCACTTTGCTACTAATTTTCTGCTAAGCCTAACAACTGAGTTTAATAGGACTATCTTATTATTTCTGTTGCAGAGGACCTAGGAGATTCCTCCGCTGACAAGTGATAGAGAGTGCACTAGAACTCAGCTGTTCCATCTTTTGCCATGAACTCTGTCCCACGTTACACTGGATCCCCCTCCAGGATCGTTCCATCTTGAAGTCTGCCAAGATACCTGTTCCCTACCCGTAAGCCTACTTGAGTCCTTGTCACCCTTCCCAATCAGAGAGCACCTTCTCTCCTAGGTCTGAGAGGAATAACCAGAGAAGCTCCCTATCCCACTCAGCTCCGCACACTCACATGTGACTGCTTGAGATACCAGCACTGACAGGGTTTTCTGGCGGTGCCCTTGATCAACTGGCTCATCTGGAAGAAAAATGTCGAAGCGCCAAAGATGGTTACCTGGAGCTTAGCTAGAATTGGTAGGAGCAGGACACAGAGTTCAGGGCCAAAACCTTATGATCTGGAGGGCTAGTAATAGCACAGTGGTAGAGTGCACATTTAGCATACATGAGGTCCTGAGTTCAATCCCTAGCACCACAAAAAGGAAAAAAAAAAACATCTCTCATCATATCCACCAACAGCCATGCAGGTACTTCCAACTCCCAGGAAGCCACCAAACCTCCCCATACCAAGCCAGGACCAGGGCACAAAATTTACCTTCTACAAAGGGGTAGAAAGGCAAGGAACCCCCACAGGCCTGGTCTTCAGTCTTCACCACTACTACCACGTAAAAGCTGTTGCTGGGGAAGTCTTTGCGCTGTAAGATGATGAGGTAGAAGAGGAGGAGGATCATTCCATCATGGACACAGCGCTTTTCTGAATACTTACTTTGGGCTAGATGTTATGCTAAGCTCTTTAATATATTATTTTACTTAATCCTCAAAAAGATCCCTGAAGGAAGTACTATTATTATCTTTGTTGTATTGACTTAGAGAAGTTAGCTAAGAGTCATATTGCCATTACATGGAAGAGCCAGGATTTTCTAGTTGCAGAACTTCAACCCTAAACCTATACCATGGCCAGGTGAGCAAATTTATATGTGCCTGCCTCACATGGGTTGTCCTACTTCAGGCTGAGCAACAGCCAGGAAAAAATGTGGAGATGCCATGTTACTTGTCAGATGCATGGGTTTGATACTGTGAGGTAAAAACATGACTTCCTCTTCCCTGTCCCCAGAATAGGTCATGGCCTTTGCCAAGGATAACACCTAGTATTAAACAGGACCCTAGGGCCCCTTTCCTCTCCTCACTCACCTTATAAAAATGAAATAAAGACAACAAGAAAGGGAACTCTGCTCTTTCTATTCCTAAGGGTGACTGGGATTATAGTTCAACTCACACATACCAGGGGATCCAAAGTCACAGGAACTAGATAGCTTGTTTCGAGTAGGAATGGGGCAGAGAACAAAGAGCGGATTTGGAAAGCCAGCAGCTTCTCTGTAAGCCGCATCCCCCACAGGACCATGTGCACTTCCTACCTGCACAGTGATGGCTGCTTTCTTGGTCATAGTCTGGTACATGCCGATGAAGGCGACATTGTTGTCCAGGTCATACACAGGGCACTATAGAGGAAAGTGGGAAAAGACAGATGGACAGGAACCTGGGCCCTATCCCCTCTCTTTAATGGCCTTGCTACTCATAGGTGGAAAGCAAAAGGGCAGGCAACTTACCAGGACATCCTGGATGGAGATGACTGAGCAGGGGAAGGCCTTGTTGGACGTCACCTTGACAATCACAGAGTCTACTCCCTCAGGGAACTCATACTTGAAGTACTGAGGGCACAGCAAAGGCAAAGAGAATCTTACCTCATGAGCATGCTCCCTTTACGCCCCTAGAAGGAACAGTCTCCCCAGAGCAAGGCCCCAGAATCCTCTTGGGTTGGGCAGCGGAGGCTCTCTGGGGAGAGGGGCCTGACCATAAGCACACTTGCTCTCCACCCCCCTTGAACCACAGCTGGGCACTCAAGGCAGTGTCTGGGAGGCAGAGTAGGAAAGATGGGAACCAGACCCATATCTCTGTACTGTTGCTGAATATCTGTCCCTCATCACTGCAGGGCTTCCAGAAAAACCCTCCGTGGAGAAAGTAAACACTTGTAAGCCCAGAAACACCACTGACCACTCTTGCTCTCATGTGTAAGCTCTCCCATTTCTCCTTCAACAGGAGGTCAACAGGGATTTTACCTGGGGTTGGGCTGCAGTGGTATTGAAGGTAAATTGTTCCCCAGTCCTGCAGGACAGAGAAGATCCCCTATAGTCACACCCAGGACTTAGGAATGAAGCTGGTCCCCATGGTCCCCTCTCTACCCTACAGACCTGAGCACAAAGTCATCCATTCGGCTGACCCGGAGCTGATATGTGGTGTTGACTGGTGAGAGGGTGGACACATCCACGTAGAAGAACTGGACCTCAGACTCATTCTTTGTAGGGGGCTGACATAGTGTTCGTTCCACCTTTTGGTAGAGATATTTGCGCTGATACCTGTGGCCCAAAGCAGAGAGTCACAATGTGATTACCATGCCACCTGGCCTGCCACTCCAGAGAAGCAAGGCCCAGTTCTTCCCATCAGGTTCCCACACCTCCTGAGCCCTAGGCTGACAAGCTCCAGGCTGGTTGACTTGGCCTTCAGCTACTGACCAGCTTCTGGGCTCAGGCACTGGGGAAAAGAAACAGGGGAGCTCCTGTGTGAGGCTCCAAGCAAGGCCTGGCCCAGGACAACCCCTCCTCCATCTCCAGGTCCTACTCACAGCCCTCGCAGGATTAGGGGCACCTGGAAGGACACCACAGCCTCCTTCTGGCGGACCACAAACAGCAAAGGCGCCCCCTTCTGCTTGTTCAGGACGTTCACGGACACACGCACGCCTTCGGTCTGCAGATGACATGGAGGTACCCTCACTCAAACCTCTCCCCACAATCACTAACACATGCCACCAGAGTCTATGAGCCCTGCCCTCCCTCATCCATCCTGGTCAGGCTGGGACACCATCTATGCTCCGATGCTAGAATAAACCCTGTCTCCAGGAGGTACTGGTGCTAAGTGAAATGAAAGGTTCATGAAGAGGCTGGCTCCTGGCCACAAGTATGTGCGGGGCAGCAGGACCAGGCACCAAGGGGCCAGCACCCTGACCAGAGACAGTGGAGACCTCAGGAGTTTCTAAAATAACCCATTCCTTTCCATGCGCATGGGACACACAGGCCTGCACACGTACTCTAGTAGTATTTTGTACATGTACACACATACACACACACACACACACACACACACACACACACAGAGAAGAGCAAGAAGTGTTTGCAACCTTCTTCCTTGTAAGCCACGAAACCAGCAGGAAGCTCTGGTTCAACAACTGAAGTGGAGGCCAGAGCCTAGTGGGGATGGGGTAGGAGAATGATGGGGGAAATGTGGGAGGTGTTGAAAACTTAAGTTGCATCCTTAGCTCTGATCAAAGGACAGGACTGTAGAGAAGTCACTTCACATCTCTGAACCTCAATTTCCTCTGGTATACAATAATACTCTCATCTTTGGCTATGTAGGAATATATAGAGAACAGTGGGAGCTTAAATAAAATAAATAAATAAATCCTGGAAATGTTTGTTATTGGGGTACTGAAGCCCAAGGCTTAGAGTAGTATTTTTCTAAAGGCGCAGATCACAGATTTTTTTTTTTTTTTTTCCAATCATCTGCATGGATGCATGCTATGGGGGCTAATTGGTATTAGACAGAGATTCATTATTTGCTCCATTTGTGTGTGTGTGTGTGTGTGTGTGTGTGTGGTACTGGGATTGCACCCAGAGGCATTCTACCACTGAGCTATATCCCCAGCTTTTTTATTTTTTGAAACAGGGTAAACTAAGTTGCCCAGGCTGTCCTTGAACTTGTGAGCCTACTGCTTCAGTCTCCTGAGTAATTGGGATCATAGAAGTGTGCCACCATACCCAGTTAGACATGGTAGCTCTGGGCTGACCCCAGATACGGGGAAAAAAGGACTCCAGGCAGGAGGAGATCAAACTTCAGAAAACCAGGTACTAAAGGCAGATCCTGGCCTTCCAGAAACCAAACCCTGTCTGCCCTGAAAAGCATTCCAGATTCTCCATTTTTAACTCCACTGCTTTCCAGTAAATCTAGACCCAGTCACAGAGAGAGAACAAGAAAGTTAGGCAGGAGACCACCCAGCCTAACTGTAAGAGCTCTCCTAGTGTGCTCTACCTAGGGTCTAGACTTCCCAGGCCTAACTACACCCATTCTCAACTCTCACATTTGGGAAAAAAAAAAACAAAGAAAAATTAGGGTGAGGCAGATTCTTCAAAGGGGATGGACTAACTCCCTTTCCCTTGCCACCCAACTTGCTGTTGATCTATCTCTACCATCCTCCACTTGGAAGGCCAGCTGGCTCTCTGAAGTAGGGAGACTACTGGGAAGTCCTCCACTCATCTCCCCAGAGAGTCTGAGTTCTACTTGCCTGGGCAGAGCCTTTCAGTTGCAGGCCTGTCTCATTTGTTGTGGTTGTCTGGGTAAACCCAGTAGCAAGCAAGCTTCCCTTGAACTCAGACCCCACAGGACTACCAGATACTGAGGGTCAGGATATGGAGCAGGCCCAGTGTGCTCAGACCACAGATGGTGGAAGGGAACAGGTAGAAGATGGGAATATGATAACTTCAAAAACTGTACCGCTGGAGCTTCAGAGAAACATTGGTGAAAAAAAGGATTGGTCAAAAGGCTCCCGTGTGGTTCTGGGAAACAACCCCAGCCGGGTACCTGGTTCATGGGGCCTCCTAAAAGAGCAGGGGAGTGGAAGCAAAGCCCAGCCCTTCTGCTCACCCACTCACCACCGGCCCAGCCCCAGCCCTCACCCGGTTGCGAGTCACAGTATGGTTGAAGGTGTAGATGTTGACCAGCTCGCTGTTGACTTCATCCACGTAGGTGCGCTCAAACTCTGCGTCTTTCTGCGAGACGTTCTTGGGCCCCAAAACCCCCAGATGGCTCTCGACCGAGGCCACCCAGAGCACCAAGAAGGGCAAGCCCAGAGCGAACATGGCCCCAGCAGGGCGGCAGTGGCAGCGGTAGCGGTAGCAGTGGTGGTGGTGGCGGCGGAGACAGGCGACAGGACACCTTCAGGACGGGTTGCGGCTGCGGCCGCAGCTTCCAGCATCTCACCCGGACCAGAACTTTAACCCCGGCCTGAGATTAGGAAACGTCCCCTCCCCGGAGCCGCGGAGGCGCTCCCAGGAGCCCCGGAGGGGAGGGGGCGGCGGGGAGGGGGAGGGAAGGCTGTAGGAAGGGACCCCAGCTCGCGAGGGACTGAGCACGGCCCCGCGACCCTACAGCCCCCGGCCAGGGTTGTGGGAACTCGGGCGGCTGGTTGCCGGGAGCCCAGAGACGCCAGGAGAGGGGAGGAGAAGCCGGCGGCAGGGGCGGCCGCGAAGGGAGGGGGGTCGGAAGGTGAGGGGCGGGATAGCAGCCGGACGCCGTGCGCGGCGGCGAGTTTTCCGGGACGCGGGCTCTTTAAGGGCGGGCGGGCGGACGGGGCTCCGGAGCGCTCGGAACTCGGGAAAGTGAGCTGCGCCGCGCGGCGGTAAACAGCACGGCGGCCGGCCCGCCCGCTGACGTCAGGGGAAACTGACACAGATTTAAAGAGCCAAGTCCCGGATTGGCCCTTAAAGGGGCCGCAGCCCTCCCGCTGAAGGGGAAAGTCAGATATCCTCTCCAACTTCTACCTCGCTCCTACCTCCTCTTTGGATATGCTTCCCCCTCTGGAAGCTTCTGTAGGGATAAGCGGACGTCTCTACGAAGGATCTACAAGTGTTGGGTTCTTGTTGACAAATTTTAATCTTTATGCAAACATAGGACCAACTTGCACCCTCCCAGCCATTACAGCTAACATTCTCAACCACCACCAACTCCGCCACTCCAGCTCCGTTTTCTCCCCTGATACTTAAAAAACGAATTAGGAAACCGGACGGGGCAGTGGCCCTGCCGGCAGAGGGGAAGCTGAGGCAGAACTTCAGAAAGAATTCATGACTCTCCCACTGCAGGGGTCACACAGCTGTAAGGATGCCTTCCAAGCTCGTGAGCTATTTCTCTGCTCTGTAGGAGCTGTTATAAAGCTCACGGAAAGATGCTGACCTTGAGTGTAAATCAGTAAAAACTTTTGAAATATTTTGACTCTTTTGAGAAGCTTAAAGAGATACATACACTTTGGTCCAGTAATTCCATTCCTGCATTCTATCCTAAAGAATAACAGTTACCGATACAAATGTGTGGGCAACTATGCTTTTCACTGTGATATTTCGGATACTCAAAAGAAGCTACTTGAGAAGGAGTGGTTAAATGCACTATTATCATGAAGTCATCAAAAATGATGCTTGCCACTTTAACGAACATAGAATATGTCACTATATAAGCAGTATACCATATACAATGACATGCACAGAAAAATGTTGAAAAAAATTGTGTACAAAATTAACAAACTGGTCTGGTGACACAAGCCTGTAATCCCAGCGACTCCGGAGGCTAAAACAGGAGGATCACGAGTTCAAAGCCAGCCTCAGTAACTGTGAGACATTAAGCAACTCAGTGAGACCCTGTTTCTAAATAAAATACAAAATAGGGCTAGGGATGTGATTCAGTGGTCGAGTACCCCTGAGTTCACTCTCCAGTATCCTTCCC